GTACAAATGTCTTTGTAACTAAAAAATAATTTTTTTTCAATTGCTAATTATCACCGTTTATTTTAACTGTAAAAAAAAAGTTTCAAATTGCAAAATTAAGTTTCAATTATTTTATTTTATTTTAACTTATGAAAGTGCAACTTTTAAAAAGTGTAGATTGAAACGTAACTTAACGTTAAAAAAATCTATATTTGAGATGTATTTTAACTACGTCTCATATCTAGATTTTGCTACGTTACATTTCTTTTTTTTTTTTTGTCAATAATACAAGCATAATATTTTGCGCATTTTTATAAATCCACAAGCAAAAATGCATATAAAATGTCAACCTTTCTTATGAAATAATCCATTACATACAATAATTAGCTTAAACCAATTATGGTTTAAGCTAACTATTGTATGTAAATATATAAAAATATATATATAAAAAATAAATACATAAAAAATATCAGTAATGTAAAAAGTGTTACGTCTTGGTTATATAAAAATAACCGACATTTTGCATGTGTAACAAATCCTGTTTACGTTACAATACATAACATAACTTAAAAATGTTTTTCATTGGCTAAGGGTTTGGCACAGGGCAGCAATCTTTTCTTTCAGTGTTTTTTTTTTTTTTTTTTTTTTGAAAACACTGAATGCAATAAAGATAGAAAAAACTAGTAATTAACAATTTGTTATCTATATACACTATAGTAGTATTGTCACGGTACTATGTACTTTGGTACCAACATCTTTCTTTATTTAAAAAGTAGTCACAGTAATAATCTTTTAAAGTACAGAGTATAATGGTATTAACATTTGTACCGATTCATTTTAGTTGTGCAATAGTGCTATTTGTAAAGCCTGTTCTTTATTCAGATAATTTTAAGAATTACTGTCTATTAATGAAGCATAGTAGCATCAAATACAGATTTAATAGCGTTAACATACCTTTCCGTGCAAAATTATAAAAAATCTAAATAGCGAACAGACTTGAAAGCTTTTAATTAAAAAAAAAATAAAAAAAAAATTTAAAATGGAAACCGGGAGAACAACTTATATTAAAAAGAAAGGGTGTTAAAGCAAGATATGAAATATTTCTTGTTTGTTGTCAGTGAAAAGGGGAATATAGTTGACAAAAATATACCAATTTGCAAATAACTTAGGAGTCTTTATTACAAAAAGTTTAAACACCTCTAATCTCAAAAAACATTTAACAGATAGTCATCCTGATTTAATGAAAAAGTTCAAGGTATGCTTATTTTAGGGTTACTTATTTTACAATAATGTTAACTTTTTTAAAATTTAAAATAATAACTTTAATTATCGTTGTTATTATTGTTATTAAAATAAAATTTACTTTATTAAGGACTTAAAGAATTTTTTTAGGATTGATATACTCTTATGATACTGGCATTTTTTTAAATGTTCAATAACCAATTCTTAATGATTGAATTATAACTAGTTATTGAATTATAACTCACTTTTTTTTTAAAAAAATAAACAATTTATACTAGTATTAAATTTATAAAATATATTTTCTTTAAATTTTTTTTAAAAGGGATCCCCAAGTGCCGCGATAAGCTGTGTTTATATTATAAATAAACATTAGAAAATAAGTTATGAGTTAATTAAACTTTCCAAAACAAATTATTGAATGTGATATTAACAAAAAACTTTTTAATTTTTAACGTCATTTTGTTTCTGGCAGAGAAAATGTCCCTCTCTTTGAATATTTTAATTTTTTAAATCAGCTCTGATTAATGCGCTTATATTTGACATCAATACAAAAAGTTTCTTTCAAAAACTTAAATCAAGTTTAAATTCCAGGGTGTTTCCCCTTTGGCGGTTAAAGGAAAATGTAATAGTTTTTAATATAAATTTTATTTATATCTGAAAAATTATCATTTTAAAAACCATTTTTTGAATTAGAAATATAAATTATTACTAACATAAGTTAAAAATTTATATAAGATCACTTTTAAAACGGTTTCCTCAATTTATTAAAAAAATAAAGATTTTTAAATTTTTCAAAATTTAACCGCGCTGGATTATATTGTACTTAGTGGTATATATAAAAAAATTAATTACTTATTTTCTAAGTAATTAATTTAAAATACACAAGATGAATAAAAAATATTCATCTTGTGTATTTTAAAGATCGCTTAGTCTAAATTTTTACTTTTATTATGCTAGTTTATTTAACTCAAACATTTAACAACATGCTTAAACAAAAAACAAAAACATGCTACAGCAAACATTTTTTATAACCACTGCAGACTAGATATGAAGGGGAAAACCCAATCTGATTGTGTAAAACTGAACTGAGTTTAAAAAACTCTATGGCGAGCGAAAACATTATTGAAAACAGATGCTTTTTTGATGGGAAAAACTATGCAGATTTAAGAGCCTAAAACTAGGCTCTCAACCAGGTATAATGGCAAAACAACAAATGCTTTTAATATCTCACTCAATAATTTGTTTTGGATAGTTTAATTAATTTTAAACTTTTTTTCTAATATTTATCGATGATATGAACACAACTTGTCTCGGTACTTGGGGATCCCTTTAAACTAAATATAGTATCTAAAGATAAATCAATGATTCCAACCTATAGGCATTTAATTTTAGCAACTAGTTTTTACTATTGACTAAATTTTACAATTTTTTGACCCTAAAATTAGAACTAAAATTTTTTATCAAAAAACTGCTTTATTTAAACCCTAATTTGGAATTTTTTAGAAATTCTTAGCTTTCTCTGATGGATAGGAAGTAACTTATTTACCAAAAATTGTTTTTTGCAATATTTCTTTTTGTTGTTGTTGTTGTAAAAAAACATAAAATTGGTAATGCAATTTCCTTCCAAAAAAACAAAAACAAAAACAAATTAAAAAAATTTAAAAAGAATTTAAATTATATATAATTTTATATTATTCTATAAATCGAATTGAGCATCAGAAAATATTTTTTAATACTTTATTCAGAAAGTTTTTAGAAAAACAGACTAAAAATACAAAAACTACAAATTTATGATGTTGTGCACTATGCAGGCTAACAATTTGGTTTGTAGTCAGTATAATTCTTCTGAGTACAAAGTATTTTGGTAGGTACCGAATACTGAAATTTTACTAGTGAGACAATAATACACTATAGTAAATACATACATACATACATACATACATACATACATACATACATACATACATACATACATACTTCCCTAAAACAATTTACAGGAGCAATTTATTGCTCTCGCAAAAGTATTTTTTTTTTTCTCAAAAGTTTAATTATCATTTTAACTAAAATAAAACACGCTAAGTCAAACAAATTAATTCCATGGATAATAAACAGACACGGTTTTTGCAAAGAAAAAAATTTTACATCTAAAGAATTTTTTTACAGCAAACAAATGACGTTTGTTATGTATATATTATTGTAACATTAACGTTACAAACATGCTTGTAACAAGTATAAAACCAAATTTTGTATTTAATAGGCAATTTTTATATAAATAAACAGATAGCTTGTGTAAAAACCAGAAGCTCTTGTAAAAGGCAGCTTAAAGGAGCAGCTTGCATGGCATGCCATGTTCCTTTTAGGAGAGCTTTTTGCAGATTTATATATATATATATATATATATATATATATATATATATATATATATATATATATATATATATATATATATATATATATATATTGCCGACCTTAAATATTTTAGGTCGGCAAAAAAAATGCCAACTTCGTTTCTATGTTTTGAGGTTAGACCTTTGTATCAAATTTTTTCTGCCAACCTCTAAAAGATTTAGAAGGTTGGCAGAAAAAATTTGATACAAATCTAAAAGATTTATATATATATATATATATATATATATATATATATATATATATATATATATATATATATATATATATATATATATATATATATATATATATATACATATATATATACCCTGTTATGCAGATTAGAACAGTATTTTTGTGCTATTAACACAAGAGAAATTTTACTGAGCTTGCAAGCTTTTACCTTTGACTACAAATAAAATGGGGTTTTATATCAGCTTTTTCCTTCTCCAAGGTAAATAGTCTAAAGTACCATGGATTAGTTATTATAAACTGATTTTTAACTTAAAAAAATCTTACAAAAATGTTAATAATTCTTTAAACATTTTAACAATATTAAAAACTACTAGCTTGAAAAAAAAAATTGTTTTATCACTATGGCAATTAAAAATTTATAATATAATATTGAATTTTTATAATATTAAAATAACATTTAAACTTAATACTAATACTAACTAATATTTAAACTTAATACTAACTTAATAATAGTTTTAATAAATTAAATCAAATGTTTTTAAAACTGCATTATATTTCATGAAGAATATGCTTATTTTATAAAATATTATATAAAATCAAATTCAAATATTTTAAACATACTTTAAGTATTAAAATTTAGTGTAGAGATCTAGTTACTTTCAGCCTTCAATTTTTTTTTTTTTTTCGAACTTTAATGGTTGAAATTTATATTAGATTTTATTGTCGCATTTTTCTTATTTTTAAGTTTGATCTATGAAATTTGTATGAATAAATGTTATTATAAAAAACTTTAAAGTGAATTAATTTCGTTTTAAGTATGCATAAAATTATATTTTATTAAACATTTGTTATTTAAAATTTTTAACATCTTTCACCTAAAAAACAGATGAACCTAATTTATAATACACGTAAAAATATTTTTTAATAATCTAAAAAATTTATTTATAATAATACTCAATAAGTACATTTTTTGTTTTTTTGATATTGTTATATAGTTAGCTTAATTGACTAGAACAAAGAAAAGAAATTAACTACACAAATTAACTCCTAAAAAAAACAATTTATTTTATAATACCAACATTTTTCTAACTTATAACTTTACTATTTACTTTTCTTAAAATTAATACTAAGATTATTTTTAAATTTCTGTAATATATAGTTAAATTTGAAATAGACCTAATCGATGTATAATTTACCTGAGGCGGCCATCTTGCAGAGTTGCAAACGTGCAATTTACCTCCGCGTTATAGAATATGAAATTTACGGAGAATATTGTATACCGCAAATAAAATATTTTTTATACGTTTTCCTGGTATAGCATCCTGTACCAATACCAGGTAAAATGCTTAGACAAATGCAGTATTTTTTTATATTTAAGATAGATAATTTCCAGATATAGAGAAAACTCCAAACATTTACTTGTTTACAGTTTTTTCAATTAAGGATGCTTTGCAAAAAACTGCGACGATTGCTCTAATTGTCGCAGTTTTTTGCAAAGCATCCTTAATTGAAAAAACTGTAAACATGTAAATGTTTGGGAAGAAAAAAGCCCTAAAATTTTGGCCATATCTGCCCCCAGGTATAATTTAACAGGGAAGGGGGAGGGAACAACCCCCTCCCCCAAAATAGTGATTTTGAAGTTATAGTTAGTTTTTTTACGAGTATAGTCGCCTTGTTGGATATTTGACACAATTCAGTCGGGTAAATTTTAGTTTTGAGGACCTTATTATTTTTTTTTTTTTTAAGAAACCAATTGGTACTTTTAAAGAAATCACCCCCTATCCTATTTTATTTGTAGAATAACCTCTGACTGCACCAAACCTAAGAGCCACAAGTTAATAAAAAAACTTTTTACTATTTTTACATAAATTAATATTCATCGATAAATTTTTAATTTGATACAATAATCTCATAACGTTTGAAAACTATGACTTCTTAAAGTTTAAACTCTCTTCAATTTGAGGGGGTTACACATTTAACAAGATTATAAATTTTGAACGCATAGATTAATGTATGAAATTTAAATGAATTCATTTTAAAATAGTAAATAACTTTAGCGTTTTTTTGTTTTCACCTTGATTTAAAGAAGGCTCCATACTAAACTCTTTGCTAGTTTTAATGCTTTTAAATTTTCATTTAAAATTGTAATAAACTTTTCTTTGTTTTGAATGTTTATTTTGGTTGGATTGCTTGTGGTAACCAAATAGTTGAGTTTTTTGAGAGATTAATTCCTAGTTTTTTTTTATAAATATTATGTTTTTGTCTAACATTTGATAATCAAAAATAGAATCATTGAATTTTTTTTTTTATTTTTTTTGTGGTTACTATTATTCCCTCCTCCTTTCTTACCAATGTCACTTATTGGGCTAGAACCAGCTTCGAATCTGCATTTCTTAGTTCTGAGCTAGAAATTTAACCACTACGCCACGGTTTCGTTTTTTGTCAATATTAAAATATATGGTAAACTATAGGTAATAATTTTCTTTTCAACGTTTGTGAAAATCAGTTTCGTTAGCTCATAGCCATTTTTATAAAAATTATGTGATAAATAGTACTTTGTGAATTATAAAAAGTTCTTTTTAATTTATCCATACACACATATATACGTATTATTTGTTCCTTTCCTTTTTCTTTTTTTTTTTTTTTATTGTATTGCGCCGTAAATCTAAATGGTTATTGAAGAATTTTAAATTATTTAAGGGTGTTCAAGTCAAAAGTTATATTATAACTGGAATGAGAACGAGGTTAAAGTAATTCATTTTTAAAAGAACAGTCTTTTAGTGACATATTTTTAAATTAGATAACACGTAATTTTCATAATTTACAGTTAACCAATTCACTTAAAGTTAAACTTCACTTTAAAAAAAACTCGTCAAAAACGTCATAAGCAATCAAAGCATTGCGAATAAAAGAAAGTTTAAAGAAAAATTGTAATTGATATATAGTGTTTGTTTATTGTCGTTTTTTTATATTTTTTATTTTTATTTATTTAATAATAATTTCTTCAGTATTTTGAAAATTTACTATAAAAAAAAGTAAATTTAATTTGAAAACTGAAAGGGGATAATACCTAATGAAAAGTGTCTTTCTTATTCCCTAATTTTTAAAATCGATATATATTATCTTATAAAAATGAAACAAAATTTTACAATCGACATTCAGCGTAACCGGTATTAATCGACATTACGGTAACTTCCGGTAACCGGTTCCGGTAACCGACGCATCCGGTATTGTGACATTTCGAAGCCATATTAAGAGCACAATGGCGTTTTTTTTGAATGTTTTTTTTTTTTTTTTTTTTTTGAAATTTTTGTTATTTTGAAATATTTTTGTATTTTTTTTTTACCGCATTTGCGTTTCTCAAAAAAAAAAAATGGTCCTCAGTTTCTAAGATATTTTAGGAATGTCAGATTTTGGATGGGAATTTAAAGAAGTTGCAATAAACGCTTGAAAAATTTTATGTATGTTAAAAAACAAAAAAGTAAGCAATGTATTTTTTTTATTAAAAAGTACCACTGTTGTACAAAACAGCTTCTGTTGCTTTATCAGAGTTCGTTTTTTTATAGTCTTAGTTTTAATCTAGATCAACCCATTTAGCGATTTCTTTAACAAGTCATCAATACAAATATCGTTATGTGAAAATATTGGTTTAATATGCTTTAAGTACTACTTTTGGAATACAAAATTTTGGATATAGGTTTGATGGTTTGCATGATATTGCATCATAAACTTGAAACACTGGGGAAAAGCAGATGTTGCTATTCTATATTTTCCAATAGTGGCCAAAAAAATGAAAAAATCAATTTCATCCCATAGGTTCTCATAGTTTTGACATATTGCTATTCCATAATCATTTTGAAGAAAATTTACCCATCAGTCAGTTAATTGTAAATATAATTAGCCCTTTTTACTGATATATTTTCCATTGGATAAATTAATGGAAATTATATTTAGGTAATAATTATTATCTTTGTAATGATATGGAGACATGCGTAGCTTTGAACAAACTCGCTGCAGACCATAATATTGGATATGGTTAAAGATATCCAATGTACTCTGCTTTCTTAATTATTTTTCCTGAATAAAAATTTATATCACAAACTTGCATATAAGTCTCCATCTCCAAACTATGTCAGGTACTAAAGTTTAAAATTCTTAACATATCACTTGAATACTTGTGCAGATTACTGCACCTCTTCAGAATACTGTTATTATTTATTATTACTTACAATTATTATTATTTTAAGTTCAAATACTAAACTAACTCCTCACCATTTTTTTTCACAATTTATATGCATTAAAAGATAAAAATAAATATAATTTAAAAAACGATATTTGAATTCGACAACCATTTTTAAAACTTTTTTAAGAAAATCAAGCATTTCGTTTTGTGGAGCTTCTCTATTCTCACAAAATAGTTTTTAAACAAATTGACTTTTCTCTTGAATGAAATTTCTTTTTAATGAAAAAGCTTGAAAAAATTATTTTGTTTCTAGATTATCCGCGTTTTTTTATCTTTTACTTTTTTTATTTTATGCAATAATATTTTAAATATTGTATTTTAAAATGATATATTGAAACGTGTAATAAAAAAAAGAAAAAAATAATAATAATAAAATAACTTTCTAAACTACTTTTAGGATTTGCAAGTTTTTTGTAATCTTTTAATTCTGATAGCACTCTTTCTTTTTGATCTTGTAGAGTTATCAATCTTTTTTCAGAAACATCAATACAACTTAATTGAGGAGTACATTCTGCAATGCCATGGACAACATAAAGAGGCAGCTTTGTAGACAATCGACTACTCGTAATAACTTTTTACCAACGTTTATCTTCTGAGACATTTTGTGCGCTTTCTCTAGACTTTATTAAATACTGTTCAAAAGCAACAGCTTATTTCTCACTGCTTCCAGCTCTTTTCTCACTGCTTCCAGCTCTTTTCTCGCTGCTTCCAGCTCTTTTATCATTGTTTCTAGCTTTTTTCTCACTGCTTCCAGTTCTTTTCTTACTGTTTCTAGTTCGTTTCTCACTGCTTCAATTTCAACAAGCCAGCAGTGAAAACGGAATATCAAAATCCGCTTTAATTTTCAAATAGTAAGTAGTTAGACTCAAGATGAGATATAATTTATAACAATTTATATATAGATAAGTTTAAGATATTATAATATAAGAATAAGATTAGAGATTATAAAGATAATAACTCAAGAAGTTTGTTAATTATAGATTAAAAAGCTAATAACAGTATAAATTTTGACTAGTAGTTAGTTTGAGGGCTTTAAGCAACATTCATGTTTTTAAATTTAGAACCTTAAATTTAAGGATTTTAAATTTTAATTTCTATTGTCGTTAAGTGGCAGATTTAAATTTTAAATTTAAATCTGACATTAAAATATGTATCGGTTAAGCACTTGTTATATAGTATAAAAAGTAATGAAGAAATGTAATAAATGAGAAGAGAGTTATAACGATTATGGTTCAAAAGAAAGTGGAATATTTTTTGTACCTACAGCTTTGAAAGTGTTTATAGAGCGAGAGAATGCAGTAACTCTAAAACTGAACCATTCAATATAATAAGCATTAAGGTCACCAATAGCAAATATATTGAATAAAGGATCAAGAAAAAGGGTTAACTTGATCAAAACAATATCCAAAAAAAAGAATAGATCTGATAAATTTCAACAAATGAAAAGTTATTTCTACAAATTAGTTGAAACATTTTAGAAGTAATGATGATTTTTATTAATATTATTGTTGTTAGAGAACTTGCTTAATTATAAGTTGTGTATGAAACGCTAAGCAATAAGGTTGCCTTATTCCTGTTAGCCTAAATTAAATTACATTACTTCAGGGGTGGTTATTATATAATCAATATTAGTTGATGTCTCAAGTATAAATATGGCTTACAATTTCTGTAAATATACCATTTTTATGATATTGAAAATTCAATTGCTTTTTTATATACCATATAATAGTTAAAATGGTTACACTTTTATAAAAATAAAGTTAATGACATTACTGCTAAGAGCCTCATCCTATTTTTTCAAATAACCACTCTTTTTTCATTTTGGGTAGTTCTTTAAAGAACAAGTTTAGGGGAAACTTTCTATGAATTTAGTTTTACTAAAATTGAAAAAAATTTAAGGAAGAATCAATTAAAAAATTATTTTCTAGAGGTTTTATAGAAATATATATATATATATATATATATATATATATATATATATATATATATATATATATATATATATATATATATATATATATATATATATATATATATATATATATATATATATATATATATTTAAATAATTTAAAATGTA